CCCCCTGTGGCCCCTCTCAGGCTCCAGATGCCCAATAGCCGGGCAGGGCCTGGGGAAGGCAGCTGCGGTGGCCACCAGACTTGAGACGCCATCTGGACGAATAATCCCAAGCCCTTGCCTGGGTGCCTTGCCGTAACCACGAGGTTCATGTACCTACTTAAGTAGGTACCTAGTAGCTGGCACTGGGGCACAATGCACCCTACGTAAGGTACTCACTCGCTTAGTATGATAGACAATACCATATCATGATCTGTGTTTCCGCTCATGACTGCCACAACTATGCGACCAACTCATAGGTTTCGCAGATTACGAGGTTGCAGTCTTCGGCCTCACCAACTGGAGGAATCGCCGCTGGGTTGCGCGCAGGAGTCTGATGTCGAATGAGCCATCCCAATAGTCGACTTGAGGTCTTCGATGACAACTCTTGTCCGGTGCCGCCAGATAATGTGTTACGGCCTACTGCAATATATGACGTGGTATTCGTGCAATGGGACGCAGCAACACCAATGACCTGAGTCGGCCAGTGGCTTGATCAATTGATTGATTATCGTCATGTTGCAGCAATCCAGATGACCTCTTGTTTCACGGAAGGGAATACACGGTGCCTGCATGTGCACGCAGAAACACCGAGTGTACTTGCGCATGTACATACGGAGACACGGTCCACTGTGCCGACATGTCCAAGGTTCCGAGGTATTTGTCAAGTACCTAGGTAGGGATGGCTTGTCCATGATCCAGCCGTCCGATGTTGTCAACACCACACTTTGCATTCATTGGAGGCCTTGTCATAGTATAATTATTACATCTGGTGGCACTCTGGTGGCACCACGGTAGCACTCGCTCGTGCCAAGGTCGGTGCACACAGAATCTTGTATTAGGAACGCGCCTTTGCAACCATGGGTGCTCCCTCACTTCCGAACCTCTTTATCGCTGAGCAGGAAGCACTTGACACCTTCTGCACGGGTACGTGATCTACGGCAAACCCCATAATTCGAGGACGGAGTATCCTGGTTTGATTCTGATTTTAGCTGAGACCCAGCAGGCTTGTTATTGCAATTGTTTGAACTGCCAGCATCACCGTCATGATGTTTTCTTTTCGTATTCTGGTATGATCCTGGATCCCAAATCTAACGACCTTGAATGGCTCGTTTATTGGCCGAAATAAGCATCGGACGGCGGAAGGCCAAGACAGGATCATCTCACATCTTCTCTCCACTCCGTTTCCCCAGTCAGATCCTTCTTGCTGCTGTTGTTTGGCATGCGCATGCGCCACTGCTGCTGCCGCTCAGCGCATCGAACCATGATGCCGTAACGATGGCCAAGGCTGAATTCCATCCGACTGACACTTTCTGAAAGTGAGTATTCTCCTGTCAAGGCTCCAGAGCTGCATACCTCCATCGTACAGGATCCCGGCTGTGCTACATTGGGGTGGCCAATATATGGTCTCTGCAGTACTCCGTACTATGCGGCCATCACCAGAAGCCATGAACAGACAGCCTTCGCTCTACTTTGTCGTCGGTGCATCCGTGTCATTGGGCAAGACACCACACACCATGATCAATCCTTTCGTTTTGTCGTTCGCCGGTGGCTGGGATGACCATGTGGAAGCCTCTTTAAGGAGCAGGGCCATTCAAACTCACTACTGCAAGGTGACACCCACTGTGAAGGCATATTATCAAAGATGGATGTTTGCAACAGGCCCGTTCCTTGAGCCGGCCCAGGACCGTGTGATCAGAGTTTGAGTTGGTCTCTAGATCCATTTCGGGGGACGAAGTGCCGACTGGATGGTAATATTCGAAAACGGCCAATACCAGCTCGGCAACATTATAAAGTATCGTTTTCTCGGAAGAGCCGCTCCCGCATAGACTGCGTGTGTAATGCCGTCTATTTCAGAGATCTCAGACCCTACGGATACATACTAGTAGTAATACTGAGATGCATCCCGTGTGAGCGGCAAGATCCTCGCTCCCCCTGCTCCGTGCTTCCACCACAGAAGCAACAATCACGAGACCTCCGCACTAATTTTATTCGGCAGACACGTTTTGGTGAGATGGAGCATCACCTGCACAGCGGTGGTAATTGCTAAGTCTTTAAGGGCCGTCTTGGCACGGGTAATTAGCCATGCAAACTTTCTTCCCTAGAACTGGAACATTGACCTGCGCCCATGGCGCCATTGAAACAGGACAAGAATGTTTTCTGCACCCCGTACTGAAGCAAATATGCGGGCTGAATGCCGTCGCACTAGGACCCGGCTCAGGAACCAGATGTTTCTCTAACGCATGGTAACCAGAGGAAACAAAAGAATAGAATTTTTTAGGACCTGACATGTTTCTTTTGGCTTCCGATGGGGGGCGCTTGTTTCACGATTAATTCTAGGCCTTTCAGAAAAAAAATTCTGTTCAGCCGTTCCGAGACGACGGCCCCCTCGATGTCATGTACCTAAGCCACCTGGCATAATGGGATGGAGGATTGGCTGACACTGGTCCTCCATCCACGAGGTCGGCACGGTCGGGTCAAGGGAGGGAGAAAAGCCCCGCTTTCGGATTTGCGCGCCAGGATCTCTGCTTTCCGCGCACCAATCATACGGCTGTTCCTGACGCTTAACCGTTTTTGCGCTACTACGGAGTATCAAGAAGCTCTTTCCCCTGAAAAGACGGTGGATCAAAGTCAAGGGAAAGTGCTAGGGGTGTGGAGTGGGCAATTCAGACTTTCAGACGAACTTGCCCAATTAATTCATTCTGCCATTCTGTTATCTCCACAGAGCCAGCTACGCATGTTGGCATGTAAAGTGTTACCATTCCGGCCGCGCTGTCGGCAACGGAGCGAAAGTTGGCCATGTACGGAGTACGGAATACGACGATACTCGATTGTGTCAGCCTGAAGCTGACTGTGCAGTTGCCGGGCGAGAACAGCTGCCTTAGATCACACCTTTACTCGTCAGGGGAGCCACTCTGGTCAGTATAAACTCGTCCAGACAACGTCGCTGGTGTATTTCCATGCACACCAAGGCATTGCTACTGACATGGTTTGGTGTGTTAACTGAGCTATTGAGACACTAGGTTGCTGACACTTGGCCGTCACTCCATAAGCACTCTCCCCTCACGTCAACGTTGTGGATCATAATGGCAAAGAACCCGCAACCTGGGCGAAAAACGAATGGTGTCTGGGCCGCATATTGCAAGTCGTGCATCCTGGGAACACTCATTTCCTGACGCTGTGGCAACAACATCATCCATTGTAATCCTCAATACCGCCTGATATACTTTGCGAGAGAACACAACCTTGTTCAGAAAACTCGATATTACAAGGCAAAGACTACCAGGGGCTCTTGAAAGGGCGTACATCGGAGTTGGTACGGATCAATACACTGGTGATAGAACCGTATGATTGTTGGGGTCAGTTTCCCGTTTGGTACAGTCATGTGAGATCGCGGAACACTTCCATGACGCCTTTATTCGGTAAAATGCAGTCCAAAGCGATGAAGCGCCCGGTGTCAGCTCGCCGCATATGAACTCCTATTACAGCTCGGACTTGTGTTATTATCTCACGACACAATGGTTTAGAATACAGCCATGAGTTGCTTCATTTGTGTGACAGGTGCCACCGTGGGCCTATTGGATGTTCCATGCTTATAACAGTTTGACATCAAGATCAAGCAGGGCCCTTAAAGTTGGCCAAGCACCATCCCGTCAAGCTCGGTCACTATCATTTATATGCACGAACGAGCATCCAGGCAGAACTGGAGATGCCTGTGAGAGCAGCTGACGGCCTGGCCTTGCAGGTTTGGGGGTGCAATGTTCCTGACACGACACAGCCCTCAGCATAAAGCCTCAACCTTGATAGTGAGTTACCAATGCTTGGCAGGACCCAAAAACAGTAGTCTCATTAATGCCACATGCAATGTACGCGCGGGGTTCAGCTGACACTGGGTCAGCATCGCATAAACTAAACCATCAAAACGCGATCAAAGATTCGCGATTTCGCGATTCCGCGACGCACGCAATGGGAAGCAGCTATGACGGATAATACTCCGCTCTCCGTCCGTCGTGTCAATAGCCAGTCCCGGTTGATCAGATGCCTCGGGCACTATCTTCCAATCATTGTGGTCTACTCCCACCAAAGGCTAAAATCCTGATGGCTTTGCGCTAACGATGCAATTGCAACGCGACTCTACCAATGGTGTGGCAGCCTGGGAAATTATATTATGCGGATTAGCTACGTAAAGTTCGGACGAGCATGCGGGGTTCGAAGTTTCGAGACAAAAGCGAAGCATATCAAGAAATTCCCACCGGGGGGGAAGTCCATAAACTGCTCTCAATGCCGCCGTGCAGGCAGCTGGTGATAAAGAATCAAGGGCAAAATAAATATAAAGGTAGCAATAGCCATTACTCTTGTCAACGCAGGCTCAAACGGTTTACTTAATACAGGCCCTCTTTGCTGCTTCTGCCCCGGGCCCGCCTCTCCCATACCGTAAATCAAACGCTTGTTTTCTGTGCGTCTCGAACTCGGCAGCTGGCTCTTTTTTACGGGTGTTTGATGGATTTCTTTTATAAAAACGCATGAAACGTAATCGTTGGCAGCATGTGTGGGCGATGGTCCGGGGAAAAGAAAGAATATGCTGTCAAAGGCTCAATGACGTACCCAAGGTCGTGCGAACTCGTGTAAACCGAAATACAATGCTTAGCTGCCAACACCTCGGCATCATCGTCTGCGGTATCTGACATCTTCACTGGACGACAAACCGCTCAGCTGATTATCCAAAGGCGCAGGGTTGACAATTCTGTACAACCGCAAACATAGATGCGTAACACGCCACGATGCATCATATCCAGGCAGACTGTGAGACACACATCCAGAGTTTGAACAGTTCAGCCTCTTTGCCATATTAGAGAAAGTCAAAAAAAAGGCTGTGGTCGTACAATCAATGCAATGTGCTTCACGCAATTCCTGGACTAGAAAATCCGAGGATTCAAACTAGTGTTGCAGGGTGTCACGGCCATCAACCGTCATCCAAGTTCTAGCCAAGGACGAACTGGGCCCACTCGCTCTCTTGGCATTTTGAAAATCCATTCACTACCAAGGTAGTTCACCAAGTCGTTACACAACACCAATCCGGCAAAAGAGACAATGTTTGGTGTGCCTTGAATAGAAAGCGGCCTTAGACCAGACCGCTGCATGCCTGGGTTGGTGAAGCCCCAACACGAAGCCGATTTTTGGCCATGTTGCCCTGCAATCAAAGTGCCTTGTCACTCAAAAAAGCGAGCCATGCGAAGTTCTAGGTCTCCTTTTATCCATCTATTGCCATAGGGTGCCGTCCATTTGGACCCGGGAGGAAAACTCGAAATACCATGCTGGATATCATCATCGTCGGGGCCGGCATATCCGGACTGACTTGCGCTATTACGCTGGCCAAGTACGCGCATGTCCAGGCGACCGTTTTGGAACGAGCAGCTGTCATGGACAAGGTGAGCTGGTTGCAGATTCTCCCTCGCCAGTCTGTAATTTGAGACGAACAAAAGTCCAAAATGGGCTCTACTTGATAGTAGCACAGCGCGTTAACTCCATCACAGGCCGGAAACGGTATCCAAGTGCCATGTAATGCTGCCCACGCGATGCGATGTCTCGGCCTCTTGGATAAACTTATTGTCAAAACGAACGGACCGGCAACGGCGTTTCTGAATCTCAAGTACGACGATGGCGAGATACTTTTACACAAGGATCTGACTCGATGCGAGGAGCTTTACGGTGCACCGTGGCTGTACGTTTGCTTTGGCTTTTTAACATCATGTTGTGTTGGGTGGCTGCTTTTGGTCCGGCATTCTTTTTGCTCATGCCCGTTCCGTGTAGGTTGATCCATCGAGCGGACTACATGACGGTGCTCCTCGACGAAGCCCGCAGAGTGGGAGTCCGGATCCGACTCGGCTGCGATGTAGACGGCGTCGACTTGGACACGCCATCCGTCAAACTCCAAAACGGACATGTCTACCAAGCCGATGTCGTAGTTGGCTGCGACGGTTATAACCCCGCCTGCTCTATATATTGTCATCGCCCGTACTAATACAAACGCAGGAATCAACTCAACCATCCGCTCCATCATGCACCCATCAACACAGCCCATCCCAACAGGCGAGTACGCCTACCGCGCGCTCTTCACCCGCTCGCAACTCTCCTCCCCATCCTTCCGGCATCTCCTCTCCACCGCCGGCATCTCCCGCTGCTGGATGGGCCCCCTCGCAAACGCCGTCTTCTATCCGCTCCAGAAGGGCACCCTCTTCAACCTGGTCATCGCCATTGCCGACCCACACTTCAATCATACCTGTGACGAAAAGGCCCTCCTTCCCTCTGTGCGAGCCTGGCTCTCCGGCTGGGACCCGACGCTGCTCGAGATGCTCGACGCGGCAAGTCACCTCGTCCGCTTCCCGCTCTACCAAGTCGACAAGCTGCCATTCTGGTCCAAGGGCTGCGTCACGCTCACGGGGGACGCCGCCCACGCCATGCTCCCTCACCTGGCGCAGGGCGCGGCAACAGGCGTCGAGGACGGCTTTATCCTGGGCACTCTGCTCGGCCGGTTGTCCCAGCGTGTGTCAGGGTCGACGCCCCGTGCGCTGCTGCAGAAACAGCTACGGACGGTGCTGCGTGCGTATGAGGAGCTGCAGCATGGTAGGACGGCGCAGATTGTTTCCGGGTCCCGTTTCACGGGCATGCTGGACCATTTGCCTCAGGGCCCGGACCAGAGGGCCAGGGATGCTGAGTTTGCCATGTATGATTCCGAGAAGACGGTGAGTGCCATGCCGTGGATCGACGCGCGCACCAATAGAAGGTTGCTCGGGAGGAAGGTGGACGAGGTTGCCGAGGGCCAGTTTGCGCGGCTGCTTGCTGCAGGGGAATTCGCCGACTATGAACCAAAATTATAGTCGGGTCACGAAACGAGGGGTCCTGTTACGTGGTGTAGCGGTGGATGATGTGTGTGCCATTGACAATAGGGAAAAAAAAATCAAAAGGGCGGATGACAGGGAATTGCATCTTATTCAACTTTTTTATTATTACTCGGCCCCCTTCTACTCTTCATCGTACAAGTCTATCCCATCCGAATGTAGGCGAGAAATATGTCGAACCTGCGAATACAACGTGATTAAGAACAAAGTCCATGCCCTCTATGTGCAAATAACAAGTATAAAAGAAATCAAAGTGTCATCCATCTAGAGGCGTGGTACCCAAGATGGGGGAATATACGACAGATGTGTCTCGGTCTCTATTATTGAAATGATGATGTCAAAATTCCATGTACAAGGAATAATAGTCTGCAGCGCAACTATTTTCTTTGTATGCGAAAATGTACCCAATAATGTACTCTTGTTAGGGAAAAAAAAAATTTCGGGTTGAAATTGAGTGAGTCGTTTTACTCCTTCTTCGCCTTCTTACCACCGAGCTTGTTCTTGGGTACACGAGCGAGCCAGTACACAAACAGGGCGGCGCCTATGTTGAAAATGACAAAGACCCAGAGCAGACCAAAGTTGCGCCAGCGATCGCCGTAGTTGCTGCTGACGCCGGCGAGGAAAACATTGGTGTCGCTGATGGTGCAAAACTCGCAGGTCGATGTGGTGTTGGGGTTCGTGAGCTCGCCGCCAAAGACATTAATGTAGTCCTCCATGTACTGCCAGCAGGTCTGGTTGGAGGGAGGCTCGAAACTGAGCAGTTCGTTGGCTGCGCAGATTACTTTGGTGTTGGCTACACCTGTAGATAACATGCCTGATACGAGGTATGTAAACGGTGAGACGCGGTCTATTCCTGAGAGTTAGCGTGTCTGAAGATAGTATTTGAGTGAGACAATGGCGGCGTAACGATGGCGGCTTACACATAAAGATCCAGAATCGCGGCAGTGTTTCAGGGGTGGCGAGGACACCGCAGAAAATCAAGCAAAGCGTAAACAACAAATTAGCCAGATTGCCACCGGCCTCGGCAGTCTCAAATCCGGCAACAATAAAGGTCGAAAAGGTACCGGTGAAGAGCATGAACATCAGCAGAAAGAGGAACATGAGGGCACCACGCTCGGCCACGGCATGCGTCGGTATGGCGTTGCGGTATAGACCAACAGGGTAATACCAGCAGAAGTACATGATGACGGCCATTAAGGAGTTACAAGGGAGTTCGACAATGATTTGAGAAAGCATAAAGACCTTCCAAGAGTAGACCTTGGACGGACGTTCACGAGCCTCGTACAGAGATCGTTGAATGATAAACTGGGGCATGGACTGCTGCACAATTTGACCAAATACGGTGAGGAGCTGGAAAATCGCAAACATTTGGTTCTGGAGGCCCTGTTTACTGTTAGGGGCCTTGAAGAAGATGAAGCCGATGAACAGGGCGACGAGAGTGCAAAGAGCAGTCTTGGCATAGATGTATACGGGTGTTCGCCAGTACTGTTGAAAGACCCGATAGATATTCTCCTTGAGCTGGACCATGAAAGGGGCGGCAAATTCGCGGTATCTGCCTGGGTCCTCTTCAATAGCGTTGACCGGGGTGCTGGCCTGCTTCTCTGCCTTGATTGTGTCGAGTTCATTTTGAACAGCTTTATACTCGGGGCTGTCCCGCCACGTTTGGAACCAGTCAATGTCAGTAGTTGATCCAGGAGCGGCACCAATGACTTCCAACATCCACTCCGCAGGGTTAGCTTCCTCGGGGCAAGGGTGTCCGCCGTTGCGTTCAAAGTAGCTCGTCATGGTCTTGGAGTTCTCGCCGATATCGCCAAAGTACACAGTCTTCCCACCCTTGGCCAAGAAGAGAAGTCGGTCAAATCGCTGGAACAGCATCGCGGAAGGCTGGTGGATAGTGCAGAGAACAGCTTGACCGGCCTTGGTAAGCTTCTCCAGGAGATCGAGAATGGCCCACGAGGTTTGGGAATCCAGGCCAGAAGTAGGCTCGTCGACGAAGAGTAACAGAGGAGGCTTGGCAGCAAGTTCAACACCAATGGTAAGACGCTTACGCTGTTCAACGTTAAGACCTTCGCCTGGAACACCGACGACAGCATCGGCATATTCAGTCATATCCAAAAGCTTGATAACTTCCTCAACATAGGCCAATTTTTCTTTCTTAGGGACGTGAGCCGGTTGGCGGAGAAGAGCACTGAAGTTCAGTGCCTCGCGGACAGTAGTAGTCTGCAAGTGCAAATCTTGCTGCTGAACGTAGCCAGTCTTGCGCTGGAAGGACATATCGCGTGGCCGTCCATCCACGAGCATCTCTCCAGTAATAACACCCATGGAGGTTCTATCCGCTAAACAATCTAGAAGAGTAGTCTTACCGGCACCGGACACGCCCATGAGCGCGGTTAGAGTACCAGGCTTGACCCATCCATCCACGTGGTCCAGAATTTTTCGAGTCTCGCCCTTGATCTTGACCTCATAGCAAACATCATGCCACTGGAAAACGGAAGTCTGCTGTTGAAGAATACCACCCTCCTTGCCCTGTCCACGACTTTTCTCGGCAGTGACAATTGGGCCAATGTTGGCCATTGCAGCTTCTGGGTCGTTGTGTCGCTTCTCGGCTTCTGCAGCTGCAGCCGGCTTGTGTCCTCGACGGTAAACTAGAACTTCACCTTTAGACTTCTTCTCGGAAACGAGCTCAGCAGCGACCATGTAGCAAATAAGGAAGAAAGCGGTGAAAGCCATGACGATGCCAAAATTGCGCCAGCGATGATTCCAGTCATAGTCAAAGTTGGAGCTGGTGTAAGCGTCTCCGTTGACGTTTGGATTTCCCGCAACAGCGCCAACCTGAGAACAGATCTGGTTTTCAGGGTCCACATTGGCGTATTTTGTGAGAAAATGGGCGGCACCAGCGAAAGGCGCCTTGGAGGTGGGCACATACTCCGTGCACTTGAACTCGCGATCATGGAATTCGTTGACCATAAGAGCCTCAAACGCATAGCCAAGAGGGTCGATGTAGCTCAACCAGCGGCACCATCCGAGCATGTACTGCTTTGGCAGTACAAATCCAGTGAAAATAACGAGGTCGAGAATGAGAATAGCCGCAGGTACCAGAGCCTGAAACAGGGTTCGGGAGGCAGAAGCAATCGTTCGAAAGATCATAGACATGACCATGACCGTTGAGAAACTTATAAGCAAGAAGAAAAAGAAGGGGCCTGGTTCTCGCCGGAGATTGGTCATGAAATAGAGTGTTATGTTAAAAATGATTGAGTTTATTATCTTGTACGGCATATCGCAAAGCATGGAAGCGATTGCTTCGGCTGAGGGGTGATAGAGCGCATAACGAGCGTGTTTCTCGACGATGGGCCGTTGTGCGTAAAGTGTAAGAATCTATACATTTTCAAGTCAGCTTATCATTTCACCTTACATAGGAGAGAGCTAATGGAAATTTTTTTCTGACCTCAAGAGCAGATGCAAAAGCGTTCATCAAGCATGCGAAGAAGAGCAATGCGCCACGTTGGAAGAAACTGGACGAGGTATCATCCAGGTTGTAGAAAACACTGCCAATAATGAGGGCCATGATGAGATTTCCAATAAGAGCACCAACAGTTAAACTTGGATCGCCAACAAGGCGCTTCCAACCACGCCACAAACAAAGCTTGATCTGTTGGAAATAGGAGAGAGTAAAGGGTGACTTTTTGCGCTGGCCTTTGGCTTGTTGTGCGCGCTTGGAGGCACGGAAAGCCTCTGCATCAGGGCCTCCCACGGGGTGGGCTTCCTTGTACTCTTCGATTTCCACCTGCAGAGCCCTATATTCGGCGCTGTTCTTCCAGGCAGTAGCAAACTCATCCGGTGTGCGAGGTGCCTTGCCTTCAAAACCGGGACGGACAATGCGCTCTAGAGATGAGGTCATGGAGGTGAGGAAGTCGGGAGTAGTCTGACGAGCAGGACATTCGAAGCCCAAGTTTATAAAGTATTGTTTTGCCTCGTCGGCCCGCCCAAAGAAGATCTGTCGACCCTCATATAACACGACAGCCTTGTCAAAAAGGTCATAGGCCGTTTGAGGCGCCTGGTAGATGGAGACACAAGCTGTGCTACTAAACAGCTCAGTTTGCAGACGGAGGGTGCGACAGAACTCAATAGCATTTGCGGAGTCAAGACCTCGAGTCGAATTGTCCCAACATTGCAGGGGAGCGCCAGAGAGGGCAGCCTCAGAGATGGTCACACGCTTTCGTTCACCCCCAGATACACCACGGATATACTCATTACCGACACGCGTGTTCATGGTATGCGATATGCCAAACATGGCCATGACAACATCACGTAGATGGTTGGCGAAATCATTCCTGTTGAGTCCCTCAGGTAGATGTCGAGGTTGACGGGCCCGTGCGGCGAAGGTGAGGGTATCACCAACAGACAATTGGGGGAAGTGGACATCAACTTCTGCCGTGTAGATTGCCTCGCCGCGATGCCTGGTGTGCATTTCCTTGGCCGAGATGCCTACATGGCAATGGTTAGCCACAATAAGTCTCGCATTGGGGGGTGTTCAAACTGTTAGGCATGTGAAGGTTGGAAGGGTTATGCGATGTGGCTGGGCTGAGGCGGCATCTTCCGATGCCATGTTCCACATATGGAACACCAACACCCCGGCCGTTATTCCCACGTTATTTCTGGGCGGGTGCAACGCGGTCGCAGATCTGATCCGTGCCGTGGGTTTTGCCAGCACAGACGGCAAATTCCGTCGCACATCCAATCAACCCCAGTCACTGTCCCGATTTGTATATTTGCCCATTTCGTGAAAGGCGATTGGCTTTTCTGCATGACTTTGCTTTGCTTACCTTGATAATTGAAATAAGAATCGTCTTCAACGAAGATACCGTTCATCTCACCAGCGATAGTCTTGAGAAAGGTGGAGCAGCCAGATCCCGGGGGTCCCAGGACCACGAGCATCTCTCCCTTACGAACCAGGCCATCAAAATTGCGTAGAATGTCGATGCGCTGCTTGCCGCTGCCAGTAAGCTGGCGAGCAACACCAGCCGCCGACAACCAGACGTTGGCGACGTCTTTTTGGTAGTCGGTTGCGGCGCCGAAACCGTGAACATTGAGGTTCTGGAAGCAGACGCCTGAGGAGCGAAATGATTTGCCGTCCTGCGACACGAGTTCAACAATGGCCTTTGCCCACTCCCTGCCGCTGAATTTGGGTGAATTTGGATTTAGAGGAGAGTCCTCCTCGGCGAAGAAAGGGTTCTGTCCGGGAACGACAGCTGCGGAGGTTCGCGAGTAGGATCGTGCAAGAGCCTGGACAACGGATGAGCGACGAACCATTTCTGCCTTGATACAGTCGTCCTCTTTGCCCAGAGATGTGGCAGGTGATGCCCCCTGCTCGTCATCGTGGCCTTCGGTCATGGAAGTAGCCTCAGTCTTGGTCGGATCGTTGTTGACGGCGGCCTCAATTTCATTCTCGTGGGTTGGTTTTCGAGTAGTGACAGGGACGCCATCCCTATTCGCCGTGGCGTCGTAGTTTGCGTTCATGCCATACATGGCGGCGACGGCGAGGGCAGACGCAGTATCAACTCAGCCGTTTCGCTCACCGCGTTGGCAAATATTGTCGAACCAAAGATACTGTTGTCTGCTGTTTACTCTCCGCCGGCGGTGAGCTGGCGTTGCAATTGTTCGCCCCGAATGATGACAACGTGTCTGCCAAGGGGAGAGGACCATATATCAAGACCTCACAAATAATCAAAAGCCAACGATCCGCAGGCGCGCAAGGCAAGGGCGGGGGGGATGTTGACGTTTTAAACACAACACTAGGGAAGGAACGATGGACGGGCTAAAGTGGCGCGAGCTGACATGGACTGGGGTGTGTCTTCTTGGTTGTGTGGCCCACGACTTTAAAAAGAAAGAAGGGGAAAATACTAGCCCCCTGGCCAAGGACGATTCTCCGATGCCCAGAAACCCATATTGGAAACACGGACTGCGGACTGTGAGCTGTGGAGTATGGACACATTATCTTGACAGACGGACGAGCGGCCACCCCGAACCCCAACGACGGCGGACTTTGTGGATAAGGCGCGGACATGAGCAAGGCAATGGTCAAAAAGGCATTTCAAACTCAAAACTGCTGGGACACACAGCCATAATACGGAGACCGCAGCACCAGGGCGACGGATTACTATCTGGTTATTCTAGTCTACGTGTCCTAGGGGCGCAAATTCCCTCCATTTTGCTCAAGGACCCCTGCAAACCCCATATGCGCCCCATGCGTGGTTCTGTTTGCTATGGTATAATGTACGGCGGACAGTCATACCAGAGGGGCGGCAAGCTAGCAATCAAATCCCGTTACTATCCCGTTGCTATCTGGTCGGGCTCACTGAGGGCCTGAGAGCTGAAGAGCCGCATACCTAGGTACTTTAGTCGGGTCGACTAGTATTCATTGCTGGCAGCAAGACAGACAAAGCCAAAGCATGCTGGTATTAGCGCTGATGGCTGACGGTGGGGAGTACCGCGGAAGGTGGAGAAGCCGATGCGCATCACCCAGGCAAAATTGTGCATCTCATCTCGAAGCCGTCGAAGCACTCTTGAGGCGAGGCGTGTCGGGGAGGGCGTCCAGGCGGTTGGCGGGTGCTTGGACAACCCCGACGTACCGGGGACGCTGAACTTGTCCAATGGCCCGACGTCATTGGGTTGAGTGGCCAAAAACTCAGTTTGCTGGGGTTCATGGAGCATCATCCATCTCGTTGACGTTGGATTACTACAAGCCACAGCCAAGCTGGCGATGGCGTGCCAATGGCCTCCAGCACCTTCAGTTTCGGCCCCCGCCTGGATAAACAAGCGAACGGAGGCCTTCCAGTAAGATGATGGCTTCGAAAGTCTGGCTATCTGAGTCACTAGACAAAGGGGTGTGTGCAACCCAGGCGTACCCGAGCGCATGGGCAATTACGAGATGCCACCGAGAGCCCTTGCAGCCATGTGAAGGTTGGTGGGATGCAAGATTTCTCAACAGCGCCTATGATGCTCCAAAAGTCAAAAGCAACAAGCGCTCAGGGCCAAAGAGTTGCTTCCATGGCATTTGGACTGTCGACTTGGAAAGTTAGGCCGAATTCTCGAGCATACCCCAGAAAAGAAAGGAAAGAATGGAAGGCCTGCACAACTTGGGCATCTACAATTCATTCGCTCTTCTCTTTTCGTCCCAACTCATGTCAGCTATGCCATGATTGCAATCCAAGTCAGCTAGTTGCGCCAACGCCTCTCGCATTCTGAGCATTCATAGTTTTGTTCGGACGGTCCCCGGATCCGAATTACGTCTGTGAACTGCATTTTAAAGTTCGGGGTCTTGGAGCAACCCGACAACCCGCCCCCACACCGGCGGACCACGATGAGTCTGGTGTGGTGTTTCTGGAGCCACGCGCATTCCACCTTGTACCAGCTGTGGGCACGCCGGCTGAGTGATTCTTTTATGGGCTCGACGTGGGACGGGGTGTGTGAAACAAAGCGAAATCGTCTATCCCCATTACAAAACCGTTGCCGGGATGGTGGGACCCAAATAGACCTCGATGAATCCTGTCTCAGGTACGGAGTACCATGTTGCTCGAAATCAGATGCGGTGCGGCTTCAAGTCATTGGTTCTGGTGCTTTCGGTTCCCAGCATTCACTATACTACTAGGAGCCCCATGGAACGAATTGCTTCATTGTGTCCAGGCGATGTGCGTGATCAGATCTCGTCAGGGCCAGCCATCTCGCTCACGACCCAGCTGCCTGTTTTACATAATTTCTCGTCCTATTTTGTAAAAGACGTGCTGAATCCACCCTTGCTGTGCTATTCATGGCGAAAGTCTGACGCGACACATCACATGCGCCCTCTCCAACGTGTATATCGTATTGTTGCACGCTGTACTCCGTAAGCTTTGCGAGTTCCAATAAGCCGGATGGCAACCATCTGCTTACATCAATGGCGAATTCGTGCTTCCTAGGCTTCGCTAGCTGTCAACGGGGTGCCGAAAAAAGTAAATAAATGCAACGCCCCAGGCATGTCCTGTGGCAACATCCTCTAAATTTTATTCCCAGCGGTCTTGTTACTCGCAATGAAACAGATTGCAGGACTTCAGCAGCAACCCTAAACGGAATTAGTGGCCGGCAGGGCAAGGCTGATGTTGCAATCAAACATTGATCAAGGAAGGATGTGTACTGCTCCGTTCTCCTATTTCCGAACCGGGTCCTCCCTTGACTAGCGAGGACGCCCCTTTCACTAACGTGGAGCAGTCGTCAATACTAATAAAATCTGCTCGTGCTGCTGAAAGTCCGCAAATCCACTCCGCCCTAAGCGCGCGACAACAGATGATGGAATAGACTATTTGCCTAGCAGCATCTGGGTAGTAGTTATCTGATGGCTCCTTCGGGGTCAAGGAGCCACCACGACGCCACGGACACGTCGTTGGACCCGAGAGTGCGTGGACAATAGATCGGAAGAGTGCAGCCCAGATGGTCCAACGTCATCGCCAGGTAGCAGCTCATATGCGGCCCAAGTAACACGAAAGCACCAAGACAGAGGCGCATCAAAGAGCCAGTTTGACCAACAGTCACCAACCCTGCCGGACTGGAGTTTGCCCGTCAATTCTAGGTCTGGTATTCTGCACCTAGGCTCGGGTAGAGGTGCAATGTCTTGTAGTGACGCATACCGGGCGATTGTTCGCGTGTACCAGTCACCAGTCACACATCGTGTACAGCGTTGTGGTCATAAGTACTCGAGCACCCGGTGGCCGTTGAGTGACTTCGAAGGGGTCGACTACTACCCAGGTAGGTATTTATGGCCTCCTACTGTATACTACTAAAAAGATGGGGTCGCGCATCTGACTTGCAGACGTTTTCCCTGCCTGCGTCCTTGGTTTCAATTCATGTTGTCACAGACTTTCATAATAATGGCGAGTGTAGTAGTGCTAGATGCGAATTATTACAAGTGATACGCATACCTTCATCTTGGTCATCATCCCTTGATTGAAGGCAGCTAGAAGTATGTCGGAGATGTGCTGCTGACGTCTACGCTATGAGCTAGAGTCACGGATTTGAAATGCGGGCAGTTTAGCAATATAATAGGCTGGGACAGTACGTACCAATGGATGCCTATTTCAACTTCCCGGACGTGGTTTTTGTGTCACTCTTGGGTGTATACTATTGCGGGTGTCCATTCTTGAGTAGGGCATCCCACTGAACTGAAACGTGTTCATGAACCTAGGTTAGGACGGGTCGAGGAACCTTGTCTTGGCTCTGAGTGAATATTCCGTCATAAATAGCAAAAAGTCACGGCAATGTTGGAAGTTTTGACAGACCTGTCTACGCACATAGTTGAAGGATCCTCGGGCAAGTCGAGACGAGAAGTGTCAGTTTTGAAAAGGCAACTGCGTCAAATGTCTATCTTTATAGAGGAAGTTATGTTCTTTATCACGAAAGGAGACTATAATTACAAGAAGTTGATGCCAACGCCCATCTGGAAGCCTTTAGTTCCAACCTCGCCCCGGCGAAGGATCAGAGGCAGACTAAAGTTGAGCTCAAACCTGGCTACAGGGTGAGCGTACACAAGGCCGACACCAGCAGCCATGCTTGGTGCGCCGTTGAATAAATCCCCAACGGCACCTAGCATGCCATCGCGGACAGCGCTACCACTCAGTCCTTGCAATCCAGCCTCCGTTGACTTGCTCCTGTTCTTCAGGGCGACCAGTCGGCCACCATTGGCGAACATTTGGAAGCGGAGGCCAGATTCTGGCCCTTTATACGGAAGGGGCAGCAGCATATTTACACTTCCAGCAGCGAACAGATCGCCTCCCACTGCGTCTGCACCGTCGTGAGGCCCGAGGCCGCCGAGCTTGAATCCACGAACGTCAGTAGGTCCGCCCAGCTGAAAGCGGTCATTCAAACGGCTGGGTGCCGACTTGCCACCTAGATTGAAGCCCAGAGGTAGAGGATAGAGCATGCCCATTCTGAAACCTGCTCCGATAGATGCACCTGATCGCTGTTGAGCGCCAGGCAGTGGGATGGGGATGGCACCGCTCATTTCAACGTCACCCTTGGAGAAGGAGACATCACCGCCAAGAGGGCCGATGCCAGCAAGTTCCAGCCCAGACCGTAGCATGTAACCGGATTGGGGGAGTTGCGGATTGTCACGCCTTTCTCGATGGAAAGTGTGTTTGATGGCGCTTTTTATCGTGTCGCCAGCATCTTGACGAACAGTAGGGCTAGCGCCTTGCCCTAGACCAGTGATTTGTCGCCATGCGCCGGAATATTCAACTGAATGCGTGTCTCTTTCAGCATTGAGCCAAGAGAAGCGTAAAAGACCCCCCTTCACTACCTCTTCATGTGACGCCCATGGCTTTTCCGCAGCCGATGCTAGTCCTTCTAGTGAAATTCGCCTGTCGGGATCACTCAGTACGGGAGCACTCAAGTTGGCGCTGTAGGCCGATCTTGTCCGTGTTCCGGCTTTGGCATTCAAGGTGAGCATCTCTGCTCCGCCAAACATGTTTCTCCATAGTAGAGATCCGTAGGCCGACCCT